CGACGTTCTCTGATGAAATCTCAAAACAACCAAGGTTAAATACGTATTTTGAGCTTATTTTCCATAAGAACAACTGGGCAATGTGTGCAAATGTCTTTTCGACAAAAGTCCAGTCAAAATAAGGCAAAAGAATGAGGGGCGGTTTTCTGATCAAATATGCCCCGCTCCTTTCAGTTCGATCCGTCTGGCGTGATCCGTCTGTACACTCAATCGATACATCGTAAGTAAATTTATATATTATGTGTATTCATTATTTTTATCGATATGGATGAGTAACGCTAATGCAGATAAAGTGCAATAAACCGTATATAACAGTTATAAGTTGCTTTCGTTCGCGGCTGCATGGCTGGAAGAATACATTATGAGTCTGTTGGTTTGGTAAAAAGTGTTTATTTGATTATTTTCATTACGTTTGGGGCTATTATTGCTGGTCCTGTTATCTGTGCTACTCATTTTTCGATTAGAACTAAATCGAGTTCATTCGTATCCGGATATTATAGAAATAATGGTTTTACCTCATGTGGAGCTTTAGTAAGTCTTACAGCTGGTGTACTGGATATAATTATTTTTAGTATCAGTTTTTACGCAACGATACAGGCAGCTGTTTCGTATGCAAATACTCCACTGTTTACAGTTGAAAACCCACTAAACTTGTTTAAGCGAACCGAATTAGAAGTAACGGAGTATCGAAAAGAAGTCGTACAACTTTTAAAACAAGACAAAAGGATTTTGAAGACATTGACTGAGGTGATTCTGTTAACAAATGAAATACAAGATGGTGCTAAACATCTCCACGATGTATTTAAACTGTTAACTGTGCAACAGAAAGATAATATTGATATGGATGCATCTCTGCAGAAGGCAGTCAATGAAAAATTAGATGATTTTCTCGATCACGGAGAAGACAATAAAGAAAAGAGTAATGCAATAAAAGTGGCTATTACTTCATTGAATAATAAGTTAGCGAGTGCCTATGAACGTGTATCCATCAAAACATTGAAGAATAGGAATAAACGACAATCACAAATGGAAACTGATGTGTCTGATAATTTTGTTGACTTATCGACTAATAGTTTATTTCAACTCAACTCACGTCATTCGTTTTTGTTAGCATTATCCTACATGATATTTATTCATTCTATAGGCATGTCAATACTTCAATATCTTGGATTTAAAAATACAAAATGGTTTCTATTATCGGTTACGATGGCTCTACTTATTATCGGACAATCGCTAGCACTACTCCTCTATTTACAAATCACAAATGTTTTAAAATTTACATCACCCCTTTATCTCTATACACTAGTATTTATCTTTCGATCTCTGGTGGGTATTAGGTACTATGAAAAGTATATACAATAAATTATTGATTTATTTCCCACTATAATCTGCGTCTGATATCTCATATGTCACTTCTGTACAACGAAGACATGTACAAAATTAAAGTAACCACAACAACTGATTACTGGAACCAGTCAAATGACGTATATTCAATTATGGCATCTGCTATTATTCTCATGTTAAAATTGCTTACTATTCATCAACAAATTGATTGTTTAATTTGACTATGATATTTCGGTTCGGACTTGGTTTTATGTGTGTTAAAAAAATTTAATGTCACAATGTTCTTCGTACTTCAGTCAGATGTTTTTTCTGTACTTTTATAGCATGTTACGTTTTATTCACTTATCGATGTCGGAGGACATGTATCTCAGTAGAACATACCGTCACAGACAAATTTTTTATTTTTTCAATCGTTGCTTCGTTCAGAAAAACCATCGACTTTTAATATTATTACAGAAAATTTGTTAATATTTATTTATAATATAAACGTTAATAACGAAAAAATCTTTATAATCTTTGAACAATTCACCTTCTCCTAATTAATGAGCAATTTAGAATGATAATCACTAAGACGTGACTGCATAATAAAAAGCTTACAATTATTAAAAATAAGTTTGACGATACTCATTAGGAAACTCCTCATTTTAAGCTTCACGGGGATTAATCTAATAAGACTTGTTAAAAAATAATTACTTGATTCACCATTATGATTTTTTAATCAAAGATTACTA